CATACTGAAGCTCAACCAAGACGATGAGCTAGTCTTCACCTTTACCTTCGTTATACGTCAAGGCCAACAGTTTGTCACCAACGGCGGCGCTGACGCTGTAGCAACGACCGACACTCAAATCAGCGGACTGACCTACGTCTATGCCTCTACACCCCGCGAAGTAGAGAACTTGGTGACCCGCGAGTTCCACGCAGACCCGAATCTACACAAGAATTCCAACGTTGAGTTGGTAGGCGACTTTGCGACTGGCGGCACTCCCTCCGTCTCTTTTGAATGGACCTGGAAATGGAAACCTCCAAAGAGCATTGAAGACAGGGGAGGTGGATGGAGGAATTCCTGCAGCGTATGCTCACTACAGACCATGAGCATGAAGCATTGCTGATCCCGTCATAGTTCGTCGAATACGACCCTCGCGCTCACTGCCTGCACACTCTGGCTAGTTTCTCATACTGGGTGTCGAGTAAGGCTTCGCTCGTCCTTCTTACCCGCGGCCCGCAGCTGACTTCTTCCAGACCCAGTCTCGCCGCTCAGCCACCCAAACTCGCCATCCCCTCCCTTCCTACTGACCGCCCCTCCTAAGATCCGTGTCGCCTCGTCCCAGTCTGTGGATTCTCGGATCAGTCATGCCGAGTTAGACGAGCCCTTGTCACCGTTGCCGGGCAATACATCATCGACCACCATCCTCCCTGTGCCACAATCTGCGTCGGAGCCGATCAAAGTAGATGTCGCATGCCCGAAACCCACCGACGATGTTCTTGTACCAGACGATGGACCTGTCTTCAGGGCGACGATTAAATCGTTGGAGCAAAAGACTGGCAACATGCGGACGCAGATGAAACGCGTGCTCAAGATGGCCAAACAAGCACACGAAGCACAGCAAGAGGCCAATAAGAACTTTTCCGAGTTCATCGATACTCTTCGGGAAGCCTCTTCAACAAATGCCAATGCTGTCCAGCCAGCCATCGAACACTACTTTGACAAGATTGCCCGGGAGATTCTCGCCTATGAGCGGACAAATACTGTCAACCTCAAGAGGATTGTGATCGATCCTTTGGACAAATTCTATACAGTGGATATCAAGCAAGCCGAGTCCAAGAAACGTGACTTTGAGGAGGAAAGCAAGGATTACTATGCTTACGTTTCAAGATATCTCGGACAGCGTCACGATTCTGTCAAGGCTAAGAAACTGGCAGAGAGTGATTCAAAGTACCAGACCAAGCGTCGCAACTTCGAGCTCAAGCGTTTCGACTATTCGAGTTTCATGCAAGACTTGCATGGCGGCCGCAAAGAACAGGAAGTTCTGTCCCACCTCACGCGATACGCTGACGCTCAAACGAAGAGCTTCCTCGAGGCGGCGAAAAAGATCGATACCCTTCTACCCCAGTTGGAGGCACTTTCAAACGAAGTACAAGAGGCCGATAAGGAGTATCAGTACCAAAGGCGGGAGCGCGAAGAGAAGAGACGACTACTCGAGAAAAGCAACCAGCCGTACAATGAGCCCGATCCCATCCCTGTACCCGGTACAAGCAGTGGCCCGGTTGCGAGCTCAAATGGAACTGCGTATGTTTCCGACAGTGATCTAGGCCGTGCCGACAGCACAGGATCGCAGTTGAAGGTGGCAATGTCTTCGGGTTCGAATCCTTCCCTTTCAATGGCTTCTCCTGAGCTATCTCGATCCCCGGGCAGTCTCGGCAATTCTTCTGTTGGAAGTCCTGCTCAAGCCTCAAAGTTCAAAGGAATCCGTGATTTGGAGGAGAAAGACTATGGCCAATCGTCAGGCGCCAGCAGCACACAGCGTAAAGAAGGCCTGCTATGGTCCCTTAGTAAGGGCGGAAGCAATCATGTTGACCCGCGCAACCTGAACAAACAGGGTTGGCACAAGTAAGTTCACCTGGAACCCCCAAAGCATTTTGCGTCCTGACAAAGCAGGTTCTGGATTGTTCTCGATCAGGGCAAGCTCTCGGAGTATAGCAACTGGAAACAAAGGCTTGATTTGCACAATGATCCAATCGACTTGAGAATGGCATCTGTTCGAGAAGCACGGAATGCTGAGCGTCGATTCTGTTTCGAAGTCATTACGCCTCAGTTCAAACGAGTCTACCAAGCAACGTCGGAAGAAGATATGAACAGTTGGATAACGTCTATCAACAATGCGTTGCAAAGTGCGGTCGAAGGTCGCATCATGAGAGACAAGTCGGCGCCGAGCGATTCAGGATACATCAAGAGAGACATTGGCTCGATCCTCACCGGCAAGAGCCCCTCTGTTGGCCACAATAGCCACCACAGTCACGCAAATTCAAATAGCGCACCCGTACGCCGAATTACTGTGGGCGCTCGGCCCAGCACGCATCGATCAACCAGCTCGAGTTTCGACGAGAATCCTGACAAGCTGCTTCAATTGCTTCGCGACAACGACCAAGGAAATTGCTGGTGCGCTGATTGCGGGTCGGGTACAAAAGTCGAATGGGTTTCAATCAATTTGGCCATTATTCTATGCATTGAATGTAGTGGCATTCATCGCTCCCTCGGCACGCACATCAGCAAAGTGCGATCTCTCACCTTGGACATCAATTCCTTCACCTCTGATATTGTCGAGCTGTTACTTCTTGTTGGAAATAGAGTGTCCAACATGATTTGGGAAGCGAAGCTCGAGCCTGGCTTCAAGCCGACACCACAGGCAACCCGAGAGATGCGGTTGCGGTTCATTACGGCAAAGTACGTGGATAGGGCATACGTTGAGCCGATTTCAGCCACACTTTCGCGTTATCCAAACCCCGACGACACCTTGCTGGCAGCCATCAAGAAGAATGAGATCCAGCAGGTGATCTACGCCTTGGCTTTGAGGGCAAGTCCTAATGTCACGGACAGGTCTCGAGGAACGCACGCAGTTTTTCTGGCGCTGGCGGCCGCCGATCCTGCGTCACCTTCTCCCACTCCCGGGCAGCCCCCGGAGACGGACAGAACGGTGCCATTCCCAGTTGCAGAGATGCTGCTTCAAAATGGTGCAGAAGTTCCGTTGACGATGCCGGCCTTCCCCCTCAGCCGGAGTGCGCAATTGTATATTGAAGAGAAACGAGGGCGCAGCACGGGGTTTTCAAACGACAGCGTCGGGTCATTGCCCGGCAACCTGAGTCCCAACGAAAAGCTGCAGCGGGAGAGAGATGCCCGATTACAGAAGAGAGTAAGCGCGGGAGGACGTCTGGCCAAGAGCCCGATTCCGGAAAGGTAGCGACCTACCTGTCTCGAGCGGCTGGGACAACTCAACATGTGCCTTGCCTTTGCACTGCATGCGAGGCATAGATCTTCTCTTGAAGTTCACTTATCGACAGACGATTATGATGACTCCGGGGGTGACGATGGATGAAATCATGTTGGCACTGGCAAGAAGACGAAGAGGAAATGGCTGGCATGCTTTGACACTGTCATTACGAGAAGCCATATTGGTTTTGAAGGGTCTGGTGGTCCTTTTTCTTTTCCTACCGGGCGAGAGAGGCTATCTGTTTTCATTGCCGGACATGAGGAGCCCAGAGTCACGGGACCATGTTGTCACATATAGCATGTGTACAGAGTGCTCTTTTCCATGACAGAGCCAGCGCAGGGCCGATCAGGTACACACCATTGTAGCAGTCCTCGATTGGAGAAGGCCAAAGGTTGGAGAGTGCAGAGACGGCCGTTGTGCGTGCGTGCTTGTCAGTGTGTGTATGGATAGTAATAGTAATGAAATGATGAATACAAAGTAAGATAGTAACATTTTATTTCGGCTGTATCGTATGCCATAGACCGAGTGAATGAGGCGATTGAGGCGAAACTCTTGTTGCCACTGGCAGTCAGACAGAAAAGGAGAAAAAAAAGAGAAGGAAAATCGTAAATGAGTCGTTTGGTGGCAGGTGAAGCACTCACGTGTGGGTTTGACGTGGGATGAATCACACCTGCGGTCCGTAGTATACTTAGCCACAGCAAGCGACGGGACGCACACCTATTCTTACAGAGTGACCTAAAAGACTGGGTAGAAGGGGTGTGGGGAACGTCACTCTTAGATGCTGGGAAGGGCACATGATAGGAATGTCTCAATTTGGAGACTCGAGACGGAGGATGGACGGGTGTCTACGTCAAGCTCGTTCGCCATACCCGCTGTCGAGACCCAAGTTCGACAAGGTGTGGTGAGGAGTCCATGAGCATAGTATGGGAAATCTCGATCGTAAATAGTAAGGAAAGCAACCTTAGGGGCAATAGCGGCTATATGATTCATGAACACCTTAGCTACCTTACTTTACCTTCATCATCTGGTTGTGGTTGAGTGGGCCCCCCTTCCGAGGCGAACATCGCGATAGTGTGCAGGTGAGGTTTGCAGAGGGGAGAAGAACGGCTCACATGAGACCTGCTTCTTTCCGCCACATGGTTCGTGATAGAGGCGGAGGCGGGAGGGAAGTGGGAGAGGAGCTATTATCAGTCGCACGCGGGCGCGATTCTTGCTTCCGCTTCATGGGGCTGGCGGCATTCATATGGAAGGGGATGGGAGTCATTTCCCTTTTCGAGAAAACGGAATTTTAAAATGTTTTGCCATTCAACCTCGTTCATCCTCGTTGCTCTCGTATCACTCATCGTTGCGGAAGCACCATTGCGATCGTCTTTTCAACTCTGCGCGACCCAGTGTATAACGACTTCTACCTTGCCTTGAGGTAAGGTACCTTACCTTACACCATCTCTCTACCTCACCTTATCTATCGTATCTGTGCACGTATCTGCCAGATCTGCATACGACCTGCGACAGTCGAAAAAACGAAAAGGAAAGAAAAAGGACCTGAGCAGGGAAAGCGGCTTTGGTTTACCTCATTTGAGAGAGCAAGAGAAGAAGAGCTCGCAGGAAACAGCCGATGACTACATGTCTAGGCTGCAGCGCACCCAACTGCTGCACCACTACAGTCATTCGATCCTCGAGGACCCACTTGCTCTGGCACGGTCGTCCTCGATCCGAGAAAACCAAGGGAAGGAAGGCCCTGTCAACAGCTAACCTCCACTGCCTGCCTGCCTGCCTGCCTGCCTCCAGCAAGCAGTCCAGCTGTGTCAGTGTGAGGTAAGGTCACTCTGGGGCGGTGTTCACAGTTCAGCCCAGTTACCTTCCCGGTGACGGGTCCAGCAAGCCCCAGCCAGCCCTGCCCAGCCCAGCGGACGGGACCCTCCCCAGGACCAGGACACAGGACAGCCGTGGACAGGACAAGCAGGACCACCACCTCACCAACACCGGGACACAGGGACAAACTGACGGGACCCGGCAGCTTGCACAGGGCCATTGCCAGGGGCGTTTGGTTGGTTCTTCCACTTTTTTGGTCTGGCTTGGCCGTAGCTTGAGCACCACTGCACTTGCACCTGCACCAAGCTACCACCTCCCTTTCCCCCTCTCCACTTTGGGGGAACTGACTTCCCGGATCGTCCAATACGCAGGCCGCAGTACGCAGTAGCTCCTCCATTTTCCAGGCTGCACTCCACGCTCACTCCTCGGGGCTTGCCTTTCCAGGCTTTTGCTGAGCAGCTGGTTTATTAATGCGAAGAGCCTCGCCATCCATCACATCTCTCCCTTAGGCAACACTTCCAACATCCAATCTTCCCATCCCCAATCCGTTACAACTTTCACAATCACCCACGTTACACCTTATCCTCAGAACTTTTATCTGCACAAATCATTTTGGCCGTACAGAGGTTTCCCGTACGTACTAGCTTTACCATAACCAAAGATCGACACATACCTGGTACCCATTAATTCACCGACGACGTAACCATTCCTTACCTCACCTTGCTTTACCCGCCTGCTGCCTCGGAGAATCCCACTTGCGAGCGAATCCCGCAAGACTCGTAACACTACCAATCGAGGCCATGGCTCCTCCTCAACCCGAAAAGAGCCAATTGAAACGAACTAGAGTAAGTCGTCTACTGATCTGCCCGGCCTTCTGGTGTGCAATCCTAAATCGTCTTTCCCTTCCAAAGGGTTCTCTGCCAGAAACCGAACTGGATGCGAAGAAGCCCCGCCGCTCCGACAGGCAATCACCCGAACCCGAGCACAAGACGCCAGTCTCTAAGAAGCATCAGCTTCCCTCCCCAGTCACAAGGTCCGGCGACTCGGATGAGGTCTACAAGGAGCCCACCGCCACACCCCCGGAAGGACGTCCTAGCCAGGTGAACCACCGCAATAAGGACGACGCGTCGCAAGCCGTTAATAACATCTCCTCGCCGCCGCAGGAGGCTACCCAGGCTTTCTCGCAGTATGCCCACGAGACCAAGGAGGCCCTTTCGGACGAGGTCGAGGATGAGGTGAAGGAGGGCGTATGGGGATACTTGTTCCCTCTCGATACCAAATATGGCAAAGTTGTCGTCATGAAGAGGCGAGCCGCTTGCCCTCTGCCTGACGCTATTGAGGCGAAAGAGTCAACGAATAAGGATCAGAATGGAAAGTCGTCCCTGCAGAAGGAAGAAGAGGCGTACGAGCGCACAAAGGTCAAAGGAGTTGCATCGGGCGGATATTTGATTGGCCGTCATCCAGAGTGCGGTAAGCCTGTCGTCCGTCTCCGGGCGTAGCCATGGTGTCGCTGACAACTCGCAGACATCGTCGTAGACGATCCTATCATTTCCAACAGGCATTGCTTAATCTTCACTGAAAACAAGGGCGGTGACACTGTTGCGATTCTGGAGGATTTGTCTAGTAACGGAACTTTCGTCAACGAAGCAATCGTAGGACGCAACAAGCGGAGAGAGCTCCAGGAGCAAGACGAAATCGCTGTTATTGACAAGGCTCGTTTTATCTTCCGATACCCCAAGAGTCGGCAATCTAGTGCATTTCTGAGTCAGTACACTCTCCTCGAGAAGTTGGGTAAAGGCCACTTTGCCGAGGTGTTTTTGTGTGTCGAGAAGTCTACCGGCCAACGGTACGCCGTCAAGATCTTCACCAAAACGCCCGGCATGGAGGAGAGATCCAAGCAGGAGGGCTTGCAGCAGGAGATTGCTGTTCTCATGGGCGTCAGCCATCCCAACGTTCTCTGCTTGAAGGACACGTTCAATGAACGTAACGCCGTTTATCTGGTCCTCGAGCTGGCTCCTGAAGGCGAGCTGTTCAACTTCATTGTGATGAGGCAGAAAGTGAGCGAGGATGAGACGCGTAAGCTCTTCAAGCAGCTCTTCCAGGGCATCAAATATCTTGTGAGTCTCACATCATGGTAATTCTGAGTCGAGCGCTGACTGGTGGCAGCACGATCGCAACATTGTTCACAGAGATATCAAACCTGAGAACATCTTGATGGTCGACAAGGAACTCAATGTCAAGCTGGCTGATTTCGGCTTGGCAAAGATTATTGGCGAAGAGTCCTTCACGACCACATTGTGCGGCACGCCCAGTTATGTGGCTCCGGAGATTCTCGCCGAGGGCAGGCACAGAAAGTACACGAAAGCTGTAGACATTTGGTCGCTAGGTGTCGTGTTATACATCTGCTTGTGTGGCTTCCCGCCCTTCTCGGACGAGCTCTATTCTAAGGAGTTCCCCTACACGCTGTCGCAGCAGATCAAAAGCGGTAGGTTCGACTACCCGTCACCGTACTGGGATTCTGTTGGCGACCCTGCTCGTAAGTGGCTCGAAAGTCCAAATTTTCTGCACAGAGACTAATGCCTCAAACCAGTTGACCTGATTGATTCTATGCTTGTCGTCGACCCCGAACGTCGGTTCACTGTGGACCAGTGTCTCAACCATCCATGGATGACTCAGAACCAGCCTGGTGTCAATGATAGTACTGATGGTCTTGTTGGCGGCATTCAGAGCTTGGGCGTCCATCGACGGGGCGTGACCAGAGAACGTACTCTCTTGAGCACATTGAACTCAGTCCAGGTGGCAACCAGAGCGCCTGTGGGAGACAGCAAGAAGCCCGTCAATATTTACGCTAAGAACACGAAGAAGATTCAGCCAAAAGAGGCTGACCCCCACTCGCAGAGAGCTGTGGGCGAGTTCGTGGAGATGGGGGGCAAGGGCGACGAGCCGCTCTTTGGGGCCGATGGAGAGAGCATTTACTCAAAGAACGACATTGCTAGCGCTGAGAAGAATGATGGGAAGTAATGTTGTGTAATGTTTCTTGTGGGTTCTTTGGGAGCATGGATTATGAGATGTGTCTGGGGACAGCATCGGCGATGTTTTGGGTTCTTGGCTTTCCTGGTGCCATGCAGGCATATACTATGTTTGCAACACCACCAGCCATTGTTTTCAGTAGTGTCACGGGCTTGGAGAGAAGGGTTGTGCAGTAAAGCATTGGACGACCTATACAGATACGCAGGCACGGATGGGCAAAAGTTTGGAGTTTGACGTTGTCTTTGATTGAAACAACGGCCCAATATAATAATAAGCTTAAACAACATGCAAAACTTGTCTGTGAAGATACGTTCTGTCGATGACATGCGCGGTAGGTTGACCAGCTCCCATCATTTGTAGGGGAGGTACCTTAGATTGATAAGTTGTATATCGGTCAAGGAGCCAAGACTCAGCGATATTACCCACCGATGTATCGGCCCCGAGAGGATACGAGGCGGCCAGGCTGCTGCGGGTCACACCGGCGGTCCAGATAGACGGGGTGGGGCCGAACCAACGACATGTCTTCGTTGGGTCCTCAACTATTTTTCTGCCATTTGTGTTTCTTTTCTACTTTCCAAGCAAGATGAAAATATCGATTCCAGAATATCCTGCTTAAAAATATCATTGCCTCAATTTTCTTGCGAATTACAGCATGCCATAGTGAACGATTTGATGTAGATACGCATTCGGTGTAACGCCCGACGTTGAACGCTGGCACCCCGCTTCGTTCACCGCCTTCGCCTAGGGCCCCATTTGCGGTTTTTCGCACAACTGCGAAAGTGGCAGAAAAAATTGCTTACCACCACCCCTCCATCAACGACGACGCAGAACGAGTCGGCCTTCGCAAATCGAAGCAGTTGGACTCACCGCACGACAGACCGACCCCCTGTCTCCGTTTTCTCAAACGACACGCCCCCTCTCTCTGTCTTTCTCACACTTTCGGCCGTCTGGTTTTTCCCGGGTTTAGAACCTCCTCTTTTTGGTTTTTCTCTCCAACCCCCCGATCAACCGCATAAACCACCGACCTCGAAACCCACCCACCCCCTCTCTTCGTCGTCGACCCTCCCAAAATTCCCGAACACCACATCGGAAACAATCATGGCGGCGGGAGCGAAGCAACAACAGGCGCAGCCGCAGCTGCTGTTCGTCGATGGTTCCTTCCAGGAGCTGGCCCGCGAGATGGCCGAGTACCTCCACATCGCCGACGAGATTAAGCCCCTTGTCGAGAACGAGGCCAAGAAGGAGGAGGTCCTGAGCAAGCTGGTGGCTAAGTCGGCGGCGCTGTCTTCGGTGCCCGAGAAGGAGTTCACGGCCGCCTCGAACCTGATGGTCCACCTCGTCCTGCAGTCCGAGGAGCCCAAGAAGCACCTGCCCACCCTGTGCAGCGCCTTCAGCAAGCCCATCGCCTCGAGCCCCGTCAACGGCGTCGGCCTGAGCCTCAACGCCCTCAGCACCGTCTTCAACCTCATCGCGCCCGAGAACCCGATCCGCTTCAACGTCTTCATGGCCATCCTGCGCTTCCTCAAGTCGCACGCCATGTACGATGCCGTCCAGCCCTACCTGAAGCACCTCCCCAGCTGGTTCGAGGAGTGGGCCACCGGCGAGGAGTTTCAGAGACAGATGTACGAGGAGATTGCCGAGGTTGCCAAGGAAGCTGGCAAGGAAGAGTGAGTTTTTTACGATATCCCGAGACTTTTGGGATGAGAACATCAGATGTGCTGACGGCATGTGCCCCACCTTGATAGGGAGAGCTACGAGTACATTCTCAAGGCCCTGCGCACCTTTGACGCCGATGACAAGGAGGAGATTGGCTCCGAGGACGCCCAGAGGCTATCCCTCCGCGCGGTCCGCGACGCCCTCCTGTCCAACACACACTACCTCTTCACGGACATCCGCAGCATACCCTCGGTCCAGAACCTCTCCGAAACCCACCCCATCTACTCCCAGCTCCTCGACGTCTTCGCCGAGCAGGACCTCGAGGACTACAACGACTTCAACGACGAGCACTCTGGCTTCGTCGAGAAGGAGGACCTCGACCACGACAAGCTCCACCGCAAGATCCGCCTCCTGACCTTCGCCTCCCTCGCCGCCCAGACGACCTCGCGCCGCATCGAGTACGCCGCCGTCGCAAAGGCCCTCCAGGTCCCCGCCGAGGAGGTCGAGATGTGGGCCATTGACGTGATCCGCGCCGGCCTCGTCGAGGGCAAGCTCTCCCAGCAGGACCAGGTCTTCCTCGTCCATAAGGTCACCTACCGCGTCTTTGGCACGCGGCAATGGCAGGAGCTCGCCACCCGTCTTGACTCGTGGAAGGGCACGTTCACGAACCTGCACGACGTCATCCGCAAGGAGCAGGCCAACGCCAAGGCGCAGAAGGAGCGCGAGGCGCAGGAGGCGGAGCGCAAGCAGCAGGGCGGCGGCGAGGGCGGTCGCGAGGGCGGCCGTCAGCAGAGGGGCCAGGGACGTCGCGATAACAACCAGCAGCGCGAGCCCAGAGAGCCAAGGGAACCCCGTGAGCCTAGGGAGCCCAGAGAGCCGCGCGAGCCCAAGGAGCGGACGGAGGATGACGACTAAGCGGGAGGCATGAATTCTGGTCTGTTGATGAGGAACTTGCCTTTTTGCTTAAGTTGACTTTTCTCGCCTCGCGATATCCACACAGCTCAAGGGGATGCAAAGCGGGACGAGGGGGAAGACAATGGGCCGAAACGAACACCAAACATTACGGCGAAAGAGGAATCAAAAGGTTTCAGGGAGGCCAAAGGGGAGAGAGGAAACTTCGTTCGTGTTTATTGTAATTACGGCGAGGAGAGAGAAGAGTTAGGTGTCCCTGGGACCGTATATGGGACTCGCGCGGATTTCCATACCTTAGAGCTGGGACAACGCTTTTTTTTTTTTTGTTTTCATGGAACAGTGATGGAAAAAAGGGATGGATTCCGAGTTTTCGACGCTGTGGCACATGACTTGCTTTGCTGCCGGCATTGCGGGAAGAAGAAAAGCAAAAGGTCTTTTTTTTTTAACACTTATTTAGGGGGGTCCCCGAATGAATCCGGCGTAACGAAGAGATTTACGATACAGACGTCTTTTTAGCCTTGCTTGTCCTTGACACTATACTGCTCCTTTTGTTGTTAGTGACCGGCCGCCTGATCGAAAAGCAACTGCCAACTATGTACAAAGCTCTTGATATGTCCGCGGCTGAACATAGCTTTTTTTTATACGACACACCTAGTAGGCATGCCATGGTGGCATTACAACCATCATGAGGTTCACGGTAGAGGGGAGCCTGGGCCAATGATTCATATTTGATGCTCGAGTCTTTTTATTTGTCTTTTTCGAGGATTTGGTTGAGAAACTCAATAGTACATGTCTAGATATACAATAGACAAACAACAAAAGAGAAAAAAAGAATCTTTTTTCGACTCCGGAACTTCTTATACAAGCACACACACACATGGCGAAAGGCCCTTCTTCTAGGAGTCTATGCCAAAAAAAAAAAAAAAGTGCTGACCCTTCTCTACCGCACCCCTCTCTAGACTAATTTTGCATTTTGCCTCTTTTTTTTTTTCTTCATCTCGGAGTCTGGTGTTCACTTTCAGCCCTGCAACGCAGAGAAGACGAAATCTCTAACCATGGCAGGCCGTGAGCGAAGCTAGGAGAAACGCAGGCCAAACTGTTTAGCCAGCATAGGTGCACGTAGTCCCCCACCATTCGATCTAAGCTGTAACCCGCAACTCTGTTGCAGAGCGCCAAGTCGGTTTCTCCTCACCCCCAAAGTCAGATGCCCAAACGCTTGGAGAGCTCGGAGCGCGTCTTGCTGTACACGTCCTGCGGCGAAGGCGTAGCATCGAGCTTGACGACGCGGCCCTCCTTTTCAAAGTAATCCACGACGGGCATGCTCGTCTCGACAAAGGTGCGGAAGCGCTTGCGGATGCTCTCGGCGTTATCGTCAGCGCGACCGCTCGTCTTGCCGCGCTCGAGCAGGCGGCTCTCCATGACGTCCTCGGGGCAGTCGTAGAAGAGCACCAGCTTGGCGGGGCAGACGGCCTCTTCGAACTTGACGGCCTGGTCCATCTTGCGGGGGAAGCCGTCGATGAGGAAGCGGGCCTTGTTGCCCGGGTTGTTCTTGATCGTCTCCGTCATGGCGTTCTCGAGCAGCTGGACGGTGACTTCCATGGGTACGATGAGGCCGTCCTTGATGTAGTCCTTGATGAGCTGGCCGAACTGGGAGCCGGGGCGGTCTTGCTCTGCGCGGAGGAGGTCGCCGGCCGAGAGGTGGGTGAAGCCGTAGTCGGAGACGAGGCGGGCGCACTGGGTTCCCTTGCCGGCGCCGGGGCCGCCGAGGACGAAGAGGACGGTCACGTCGGCGGGGGAGAAGGTCGGGGTCGACTTTGTTGGGGCGGGAAGGCCTTGCTTTGCCACGGGGGCGGGGAGGGAGGCCATCTCTGTAGGTGTTTTTGTCAGTCGAGCCTCTGTCTCGTGATTGCACAGCTTGATCAAGCTACTGAAAGAATTGGAACATCGTTTCTGTGCTCATCCTGTGGACGAAAGCGACAAGATCATGCTTGGGGCCTAGAAAGCTACTTTGGGGGGTATCAGGGTTAGACAAAGATAGCTTACCTGCTCTTTGATCGACGAGGAGCTTGTAAGCAAAGCTACCGGCACCGACAACAACGAGGAAGGGCCAGAACTTGACGCCCGAGGACTTCTTAGGGGGTTCAGAGGAGTAGAAGCGACGCGCCGGGAGTCGCTGTTGAAGACGAAGAGAAGAGCGAGAAGTGGAAGTGAGGATATTAGAAGAGCGGATTGGGGAAGAGGAAGCTCGGGAGAGCAGACGGGGCGCAAAGGAGTGCATGATGACGGGGCTATAAGATGGCGAGGTAGGCGCGGGTTTGGCGGGCGGCAAGCGGCTAGTTCGGGGGGGGTGAGAATGAATAAGGTATGGAGGCTTGTCAATGCAAAGTGACGAGGGCTGCGGCTACACCAAGGACAACGAGAGAGAGGGAAAAAAGAGTGACAACGTGTGGTGGTGGTTGGTGGATGGTGGTTTCGAAACCTGTCCTGCGTTCACGCACTGCTGCTAGGGTCAGCTAAGGTAGGGAAGTGTTGGCGTGGCACAATTTTGGACGGTCCCGTCACCTCCTGAGAGTGGGGCAGATTTGAGGGCAATTGGGGATTGGGATTGGTATTCTGGCACCTGGGCTTCCAGACCGCCCGACCTCATGACCCCTGACCACACTGACGTATGTCCACTTGGCAACAGTACTGGGTTCTGGCGCTGTCACGTGGAAATATCGTTGAACATCGTTGAGATAAGCTTTCGTCCGTTTGTTGAAGCCGTCTTATTTTTACATATCTTTGGAAGCCAAGGGACGTCCGTTCTTCCCGTGCGCTTCTTCCGTCGCTGGGACCAATCGCTGACGTCTACTTCCTACACGGCGAAGATGCTGCGTCCGGTAGACAGAGTCTCTGAACTTATTTGAAGACTAAGATATCTTCTCGCCTTTCCTGTCCCTCCACGTGAGCTAGCCAAACTTACAGCTATTCAACAGACCGTCTCACTTGGCTACATTCCGTGCTTTGGCTCATTCATGGGACTTTGTTTCAATCATGCCACATTAATGATAACTCCCTGAGTATATCACATTCGTTAATTACAAGGTGCTATCAGACTAGGGTTCCCTGATCACATGGTCGAGCGAGGAAAGTAGTTATGCTGCATGAGTTTGTCATGAGTCTGGTTTGGTGGTCATCCCAGCTACCGGGTCGTCTCCTGACGGAGGCCTCGCCCGCATGATCCGATTGCAGCCTTGCCAACACAAGCGCGGACTCGGGCGGATGAAAGTTGCGGGCGGCAAACTTCACCGGCGTGACTTGGGTTGTGGGCGAAAACCCGACAACAAACGTTTATACCGCGTCGTGCCTGCGAGGCCTCCATCAGCATAATTGACAAAAAATGTGAGTGCTTGGCTGTCTCATGCTCGTCATGCTGGCTTGAGTTTGCCGGTCTTCAAAATGCTACAGCGCAGCCCAATCTGCGATGCCGGTCATGCAAAGCTCGAAAAAGTCAACATCTTACACGGCTGCAAATGCGGTCCGGCGGGATGATCTTGGCTCGACCCGCGACCTTTGTACGGAGAGGGGGGGGGAAAGACAAGCTATCCATGGCATTATGTAGGATCGTGAGCCAACATATGTTCTTTGCCAAAATCATACCGCTCGGCCATCGACTACAACGGACGGTGCTTGTTGACAGCTCACTCGTCTTTAGTGCCTATAAGGAAGTAGGCAGGTATCAGATGAGTATCCATCAAGGTGCGTATTGAACAGTGAGGGGGAAGGTGAGGTCACCTGCCCAAGACGAAGACTTGTAGAGGCCAGATCGTATTCATCTATGAATATTGACCTCATATTTACTTATCGCCGTACGCGAGTACACCATACATGCTGGGTGAAAGGATATAACACTTATCCAAGTAATGTGACATGCCCATGCTTCAACAATTCGTGTTAGTATGCACTGGAAGCTCTGATGAACGACTCTTCTGGAGGTATAAGGGAAGCCCTTAGCACTACGTGAATGATAGTGTCCCAAATATTGGACACGTGCTTTGTAAGAAATTGCAGACCGAAAGAGCTTGCGATATGACACTGAGTGAGTGAAATCTGAACCTATGAGGCATTGAACAATATCGTTCGATATGCCGCAATTGATATATTGTTGTCGCCAACGGCATCGTTGACAGAAGCACACTCAAAGCTCGTGGCTCAAGGCTCATGCCACATCATTGGTTGCCTACATCTCACGTAAATCCAACGCATCGTGTATGCCACATCACTCAACCATATCAAATAAGGATTGACCAAGCTTGCCTATTAAGGCAAGTCCCATCTCCATATCATTGGAATCCACGAAATGCTTATCCTGCCAGAAACCTTAGAGAAAATAAGCACAAGGGAGCCGCGGAGAATCTCAGATCGCAATTGGAGAACTACGAAGGATCGAACTTGCAGGATCATGTTCAGCTCGAAATCGGCATAGGGCTTACATGCGAATCGCCCGAGAAGCTGAGAGGCTGATAGCTCCGAGTGGCTGTACCGCGAAAGAGTAAGACAAGTTTTGGCGAAGAGCGAGTTCCACTTTGTCTTAGCTGCCCCTCACGAAGCTCTCCAGCTCCTCCTTGGGGCCACGCTAGACGCGGGGTCTTATTGATAAAGACGTCGGGATCCTCAAATGGTCCAACGGTCGTGAGCCCGCGGAGATATCAAATTATCAGGTTCCAAGACTTTATCATTTACACCCAGCCCGTCGTTTCTTTACAAAAGAGTTTATCAAATATCCACCCTACAATAAGCTTCAACAATGCCCGTACTCAAGCCCAATGCTGAATTCGGGCACTGCGTACCACCGGAGACGCAGTATGGTATAACCACCTACGCGCCAGGATGGGAAAATGCAATCAAGTTTCGAGAGGGAGACCGAGCCACTATGGCTCGCGTTGTTCACATATACCCGAGATTTGGGCCATTCGGGCCCGTCTCCAAGGTCCGTCTTGTTCATTCTAGAGACCCCCTGAATCGACAACACCAATCTAGGGCCCTTTTGTAAGGAAAGCACCATATTGGAGAACTCAGCTGACAGAACCAAAAAAGGCGCTCATGGCCATCTGCGCAAAGATCAAAACCCCTGAAGGCCACGGAGCACTCTTCTTCACCTCACCGGCCTCCTTCGCCACCGTGCGCGCCCACGCTCTTCACCCTCACCGAAAGCAGCACGTCCTGACTGACGAGGACCTGAGCTACCGATGCGTAGATGTCGGCGATGTGCGTCTTTACCTAGTCACTTATCCGATGCCCAAGACCCCTGGCGTCATTGGCGCCTGGCAGAACCCGGGCATAGGCGTCTCGATCCGTCTGGCGGAGAAGCTCCTGGAGGACATTGAGTCCTTGAAAGAGGTTAACTTCGAAGGCGCGGGAGATTCGCCGCCGACAAAGTATCTACCCGAGGGCGAGGCGCACGGTAAGCTGAGGGAACGCATCACTGGACTCATTCACCGAGCCGCGATCGATCCGGACCAGGTGAAAGCTGAGGCCAGAGACGTGTTTTTGTACCCCACGGGTATGGCCGCCATCTTCGCCGCCCATAGGACTCTGCTTGAGTATCGCCCTGGCAGCGTCGTGATTCTCGGGATTGCCTTCCACAGTACCGTTCACTATCTCCAAGACTCCTCGCCGCAGGGCTATAAGCACTTTGGCCCTGTCGACAAGAAGGGCGTCGACGAGTTTGAGTCTTGGCTTGACGCAGAAGCGGCCTCTGGCAGGGACGTGAGCTATGTCATCGCCGAGTTTCCCAATAACCCTCTACTAGCCAGCACTGATATCAATCGTATCAGAAAGCTTGTAAGTAACCAAATCATCAGATATCAGGATTTGATGTACCTAGTTAACACCTCTTATAGTCCCAAAAGCACAACTTCGTCCTCGTGCTCGACGATACAGTCGGTTCCTTCAGCAACATCGACATCCTGCCCCACTCTGACATTCTCATCTCCTCGCTCACCAAATCCTTCTCGGGCTACGCAAATGTCATGGGCGGCAGCATCGTCCTCAACCCGCTCTCATCACACTACTCCGCCCTCCACCCCCTCTGGTCCAAAACTCATCACAACGAGCTCTTCATCGGCGACGCCGAGGTCCTCCTCTCCAATTCGGAAGACTACCTCCCGCGCACCACGATCCTGAACCGCAACGCTGCCGCCATGGCCGCTCATCTCCACGCCGAAGCCTCCAAGAACCCTGGATCAGGAGTCGTGAAAGTCCTCTATCCCTCCGTCCTTCCCGACTACGAAACCTATAAGTCTTTCCTCCGTAAACCGACACCAGAACTCCCTGAACCAGGCGCGGGCTGTCTACTGAGCGTCGACTTTGACTCCGTCGAGGCCGCCCGCGCCTTTTACGACCGCCTGGCGTTTTACCCCGGTCCCCATCTCGGCGCGCACCGTACGCTTTGCCTAGCGTATAACACGCTCGCGTTCGGAAAGGACCCCGAAGAGGCGGCGTTCCATCGGTCGTACGGGATTTTAGAGGAGACGGTGCGTATCTCTGCTGGGTTGGAGGATGTTCAGGACCTTCTTGATACACTAGATGATGCGTTGGCTGTTGCGAGGGAGGTTAAGGCAAAGTTGGCTGAAGGACCTACGACCGTGGAGGCTGCTGCTGGTCTTGGTGTTTCTGCCTAGCAGTTTGCCTTGTTTAGCTGGGCTGGTTTCGCAGCGGAACAGAGCTCTCTATCAACAAAGCACATTAAAATTCTACCCTATATTTGTGGTCCATAGGATCAGCGTTTCTGTAAAATGTCTGGCACACTGCCGCCTAGCCAGACTCTCATCAACGTTAGGATAGAAGACCCGGGCTGTCTAGGCGCACCAGGAGACCTACACCTTTCTTTCAGTGAAATAAGGTGTTGAAATTTATCATTACAGTTGCAACAGTCCTATTAGTGTTTGGGAAGAATCTCTCGTCGTTATACAAGTCTAGGTTGCTGTCAGCTGGATCTGCTTTCTTCGCTCGCCGTCTTTTACACAGCTTTTTACTTTCTCTGGTGGGCTCTGCGTGTAACAAATGCTGAGCAGGCTCACCCCAAGACTATTGGGCGCGGAGAAGCCAAGCAGACACGAATCGAATCTGTAGAAGGCTCAGACTGCTGGGTGCTCAGCTTTTAGGAAACTATCGTGAACCACGCTGATATGGTTGGAGTTTGTGCAGAGCTTGGGAGAGCCATAGAGCCGCTCATTCCACTATCAACCCGAATGTTCTCAATGTTTTGTAGGCTTCCAGTATAGCGATACTATCTGGTAGTTCACATGAAACGTCTCGTGGCCCTGTCCGAGACGGCGGATAGCAGAACGAATGGCCCCAGGAACAGCGTTTGTCGACTAGGAACTTAGACCCTCTGGCGTACTGAGTCTACTTTATGTACGAACTGCTCTAGAACTGTCCATGCGCGTACTCGAAAGTATAATAGACCCTTCGAGTACTTCGGTATATATTAACAAAAAAGCCTTGAGAGAACCTCTCTGTTAGTTTCAAATTAAGTCAAAGATGTTGGGTCGTTGATACTGGTTTCGTGGTGTTCGGCAGAACACTCAATGGGGATGAGAAGTGACGAGAAAGTATTCCTTTGCATTGGCTAAGAAGATACATCATCAAAAGAACATTGTTATTTCCGGCGTCGTAAAGATAAACGTAATGTTTCATGTCTCATAGAACAGTAGCCAAGATGCACGTAGGTCTTACCAATCGACGAGAGTCTGCACCTCAACACTCGCTCGAAAATTGAAAGAGTCTATTACGATGTGCTTTGGATCCAGTCTGATTCCCTGCATGCTCATGCAGGCTCAGCACCTGGCTATGATTTGAGTAGGTCTTTGCACAGGCCATACCTCTTTTGTGCTTAATTTGCAATGCTATACGTAAGTTGCGTGTGTATTCGCTATGTCGAAATTCTGCTCCTCTCTCCATATGCCCATGTCCCCAGCTAAACTTCATCAGTAAGCCTTGCAATACATTCAAAGTAGCCATCTATGCACAGTAGCCGTCTATCTATGCGGCGAGAACCCCTGCCCAGCACTAAGCAGAAGTTGCGGCCTCTTCCTTCTCGGCCTTACGGCCAATAACTGAGTAGCTGGCACCAGGGCAATTAGCACAAACGTAGACTTTGGAAGGCTTGTGGCGGGAATAGAAAAAAAGACAGGAATCGATACTAACATGGGAAAGTAGGCGTGATAGCTTCTATTCTTCAAATCTTTGCGGACATCGACGAGAAACACGTTGACTTCGTCGCGGGTCCAGCAGTGGACACGGGTGAGAAGCGCCATACACACGGCTTCGAGAGCGCTGGACAAGTTCTCGTAGCACCAGAGGCCGAGTTTCTTATATCTATCACAAGGAAGTGTCAGCCCAAGTATATTTTCAGACCTGGAAAGATAAAAAAACGTGTTCTCTCCGATGGAACGGTTTATTAGGAGAGAAGTGAAAGAAAGCGCCACACTTTTCATCTTTGGGCCAGCCGTTCATAGGCCACTTGAAAATCCGTAGCTCGACGTCGACAAATCCAGCCTCAACAACAAGACTTTTAAGGGTAGATACGTCGACGAACACACGGCCCATCTTTTCGGACCCAGAACGGATGAGGTTGACGTACTCGTGTATCGAAGAGTCTTTGGGAAGGGTATTGTCGTCAGATACGGGGTCGACTTGATTTTCGAGAAGTTCAAGGTACCCGCCCGGTGCAATGTTGCTAAGGCCAAGGCCAGTCAGTCGTCCGATTCGTGAAGTGAGCGGATATTGTTGAAAAATGACAGACTCGTAGCATTTTTTGAGGTATTCTTTCCAATTTGCAAGGCTGGCGTTCATAAAGCGGCTGTGGATGTAGTTGAATGGTTCCGAGTACGTCCACTCTTCTTCGATATCGTCTATTTCGAACCTCACATTGGGAGGCACACTTGACACATTTAAATCAGTTCCGACGAAACTGGATGAGTTACTCGCTTGATACGCAAATCTGACTTACAATTCCTGCTGAGGAGCAGAGAGATCGATGCCCAGAATCTGGAAACGTAATGATAGTATGTTAGAAGCGCGGATCGTCATGTCAAGCAAGTTCAGGGGCTGCAGAGGAGAAGGGCCGCAAAGCTACCTCAGATTCAGGATGCAAGTCTCCGAAATCAACGGCCCAGACCCCGGTCCCAGTCCCGACATCGAGAACGCGGCCCACTTCAGAGTCCGGCTTGCAGGGAGGGGCGAGGCCGAGTTTGCCATCGAGAGTGTAGATGAAGATCTCATGTTGTTGATCTATTCTTCGAAATCAGGGAATCGGTCAATCAGATTATATGCTGCCTCCAGTGCGAGCGCATCAGGAAAGCGACGCATACCTAATCTGTCACTCTCTCTTGCGTCGTTGGGAAAGATGTATTCTGCGTTTAGTCTTAGTTATTCAGACCCCGTACATGTTTTGACTTTGAAACAGAGTGAGATGCATCGTACTGCCGTCCTTGTATCGATGACAGGTTCTGCCATTCTCGATGCGGTAGTCGAGGATAGATGCGGTGATGCTTGTGCTCGAGGACGCGATGCTCTGATGGTATGTTAGAGACAGTACAACACCATGCCACCGCACAGAGCTGATGGTTACAGGTTAAAGAATACAGGTTGGCCTACCTCGAGATCCGACACATCTTGTTCAGAAGCCTAGTACGAGGAGAGAAAGGTGAGTATCGAGCTCGCAAATTTTTGATAGCCACTAATAGTTTGTAGGACAGAATACAGACCTCATCTCCTGGCACGATCACAACCTCGTGGGTGATCTCAGCCATATTTGGTAGCGTACGACTGCTTATGAGCTGATTCGTGTTGCTCGAGCCTCAGTCGATGCCTGGTATCTTCGACTAGGTTTCAATACAACTCTTCACAACAGAGTCGAGGTCTGGCTCACATCAGTGTAATATGATCAAATAAGTCGAACGATAGAACGAGGAGAAGCGCCCCTTTTACCTTCGAATATACGGGCAATGAACCCCTCTTCCAAGACGGACGGATGAAACCATATACCCGCGATACCAACCAACATGCATATGCGTGTCAACGGCTCGGTTACCTTTTCTGCTCATTTGCAAGGATTCAACTGTGGAGATATTTCCAGAATTGCTTTTATTGCAGGAGACCTGCGATCAAGTCGTGCTTTCTCAGAAAGCCGTGGACTTTGCAGATTGGTTATGCTTTACATCTCAACAGTCGCTCAAATTCGTAAGATCTGCTACAACGTGCTTTGGCTTCATTATATATTTCTCTGCAAGTAGTCCTGCAGCTTGTCAAATGGATGAGAACACTAAAGACCAACGCCAAACTTTCCCTTCCTCACCGGGCCCAACGTATCAAAAGCCCACACATTCCACATAATCTCATCTACAAGGGCGTCACACCATTTTTCTGTTCCTCCCAAAAATGCTCTCTTACACCATCGCAGTCACTCTCCTGACAGTTCTCCTAGCGCCTTCGCCGCTAACCATAATAAGACCCTCCATCTCCAACGTCCGCATCGTCTCGTTGAAGTCGCTCTGCTCAATCGGCATGCTAGCCGACTCGCTGAGCCTCCGTGCAACCTCGGCCCACTTGACGGTCTGTCCATTGCTGGTCAGCTCGTCGAGTAGGTGGAGCACGGCGTTCTTGATCTCCTCCTTCTTGCGGCGATCGGCAGCGCTCGTGCCCTCCGTCAGGAGACTCATGTCGATGCGACCCTGGGAGTCGGTGGCAGCAGTCTTCAAGGCAGAGCGAATGAGGCGGGCGGCTTCCATGACGTCCTCGCGAACAACTGTTGTAGAAAGACGCATCTTGGCGTGAGCCTCAGACAGACGAATCATGGACTCAAGTTGACGAGTAGTAGCAGTGATACGCTTCTCCGCAGCGCGGACATCCTGGCCGAGCTTGCGCATCTCAAGGTATTGGTTGACCAACTCTTGAGCGGCATCTTGGGCGATGGTAGGCTGTATTTGCGAGCGAGCGTAGGAGATGTAGGTGGTGAGGAACTCAACAGGCTGGATACAGGTCAGAAACTGTTGAAACGATGGGAGCTAACAACGGGCACTCACGAGAATATCATCCTTCTGCTGGGCAGACTCCGGGTTATCTTCCAGGTACAAGGAAAGCAGATGGCGAGCAAGACGAGCATCGCTCTTCTCATCTGCGCGATCGAGAATGAGGTAGACCAAATCGAAACGAGAGAGCAGAGTGGGGGGCAGGTCGATGTTCTGAGGTACGGGCAGATCAGGGTTGTAACGACTGCCAATCGGGTTGGCAGAAGCCAGAATACTCGTTCGGGCGTTCAAGGTGGTGATGATGCCGGCCTTGGCAACGGATACCGTCTGCTGTTCCATCACTTCGTGGAGAACAGAACGAGTTGATTCCGACATCTTGTCAAACTCGTCGATGCAGCAAACACCGCCGTCAGATAAGACCAGGGCACCAGACTCAAGAACAAGCTGGCGAGTCTCGGGATCTCTAGTGACGTACGCAGTGAGACCAACAGCTGAGGAGCCCTTTCCGCTGGTGTACACACCACGAGGAGCAATCTTGTGCACGTAGGAGAGAATCTGGGACTTGGACGTCGAAGGGTCACCGCAGAGCAAGACGTTAATATCGCCTCTGTATCTGGGGCTGCCACCCTTGGTGAAAGTCTTGTTGGTGCCACCGAATAGTTGCAGCAAAATTCCCTTCTTCACGTCGTCCATCTCGTAGATAGATGGGGCGAGTGAGCGGGAAAGAAGATCGTAGATGTCTGGCCTGGCAGCGGTCTCCTTAATCTTCTCTTCCTCCTCTGGGCTGATCTTCTTGGTTTCTTCCATGTTGGGGTCGTTGCCAGACTCTTCTTCTTCACCTTCAAGGCCGAGGGTCGAAGTGTCGACTCCCATCCTCTTCTTGTCCACCTTTTGAACATGCAACACATCGACATATGTTTTGTAGATACTCTTGATGGTTCTTTGGCGAGGATTCACACGCACAGGGTTGACGCGGAAAATACCCGTAAGCTCAACACGGTCACCAGCTTTGCAGAAGTCCACCAACTCGTTGTACACACAAACCGAGACTGAGTGGGGCGTCTGTCCGGCAGGAACCGCATCGGGGGTCTCCTGAAGTTTGATCACCTGCTTGTCGTCGAAGACACAACGGTTGTGGATAATCTGCATGGAGTTCTTGGATGCGCAGCGAGTACGCGGGCACTCAGTAGGCTCGCGGATTTTGCCTCTATCGAGACCAACGTTGACCGAGTGATTGCAAACACTGCAACGGAAGAACGCATCCTTCATGTCTGGGATGACTGGCGTGGTGCGGATGACAAGACCCTTGATGGTGATGAGTCTGTCCATATCTGAGGGGTTCAGGTCTCGAAGGTTGGTCGTCTTGTCCAGTCCGAAAGGCCGGACCATGTAAAGCAAGCCAGAAACCTCGTCTTCCTTGGAAGGGAGGTCCATAGTAGGTCGCGGTGTCGGGGCATCAGAGCCAGCATGGTCTGAGCTCGGGAAGGCAATCTCGGAGCTGGGTGCAGTGTTGCTGCGCCTAGCCGCATCGCCAGCGCTGCTCTGAGAGGCACGTTGTCTTTGGTCTTCAGCTCTTGCCAGCTCTACCATCATGTCGCTCACTGACTGATCCATGATGGGGACGATTTCTTGCGGGTAGGCTTGGAGGTGGTACCAGAGCTTGCGTGTCGGGGGGTAGGTGTTCAGATCGGCGACGTTGAGATGGAGCCTGGCGGTACCGAGAAGAAGCATGTTTTCCAAAGCCTCCCAGTAGGGCTTGGACTCAGCGTCAGGGGCATTCTGAACCTCTGCTTCGGTCCAGCCCTCCCTGTACAGCTGGTATTTCCGTGTGAAGTGCCTGAGGAAATCTTTGAAGGCTGCGAAGGTGTCGTCGACTGAAACCGTGGTACCCCAAATGGCACTCTCTCCTTGCCCACCAAGACGATCTGCCTCTGACGTGTTTGGGTCTGGGTTGCTGAATGAAAGTGCATCGGAGCCCGGGGCGTCTGTGGTAACTCTGCCTTGAGGATCCAAGACAATGCGGCGGCGTGGTGTTCTGATGCCTTCTGAGTTGATGTCACCTCTGCGGGAGCGAGATGCTCTATCAGAGACAAAAAGGCCACTGCTTTCGCTGCGCAAGTCTGACTGAGGTGCCCGCATCGGTCCCGGGCTGGAGCTGGCTTCGTATCGGATTGGTGACGATTCTGGGCATACAAGTCAATACTTTGCACGCACATACACCAATGAAGTGCTGACCTCTCATCATACCGCTCGCACGCGGTGTCCTATCTCCATCACCGGTGGATTGGGTGTCAATGTCTTGACGCAGCGGTGAGCTGGGAGCAGGCCCAGCGGCGGTGCTCTGGCTGTTGCTCATGTTGCGCAAAGGAGACGAAACATCGCCATTGGCAGGTGCATTGCGACGACCATTGGCAGACTGTGCCGGAGAGGATTCATAGAACAGAGGGCTGGATGCAAGCTGGGACCGGCGGGTTGTACGAGGGGTCTCTGCAGGGCGTTGTTGCGCCTCTTCGTCTGCCGGCGCGGGAGTGCTGCGATCAGCGTCCGGGTTGTTTCTCGTAGAACGGCGGGGAGTTCCACCGGCCGTCGAGCTTCTCGTCGACCTTTTCGAGGGCGAAGACATTTTGTTGTTTTTGACGTTCGTAGTCTTGCGGTTGTTGGTCGAACGGGGGGGGAAGTGGGATGCGGGATGCGACTGAAAGAATATGTGCGTTGCTGGGGAGAGGGGAGGTGTGGAGAGGCGTCGTTCAGGAGCAACTAAAAGGTGGGCTGCATTGCAATCTCGAAAAAGCACTTTACGCGCTCACCCAGTCTGAACGCGTCCCGAAAAGGAGTTTCGCGTTTTCCACTTTACGCGCTGTGGAAGCACTGGCCCGTGCGTTCCATCTACCGCCCATGTCGCTGGGGCCACCTTTCTGATGGGGGCTCAAGGCTTGGTGGATTCCCACATCCCTGCTATCCGGCCATCGGCGAAACCACCCACCGACTTGCACCGATTCTGGGATGCTGAGGTGGTCAATTGCATCCCGCCAGAGCTCCCTACCAGGCACCGTTGACTAAAGTGACATTACCCAGCAACCCACCAACAAGCGCAATCCGGCGCAACAACACCCTAAATAACCGTCAAGATGGCTCCTGGAATGTCCCTTTTCTCCGTCAACGCGATCCTGATCCTCAGCATTGAGGACGGATCGCGGTTATTCTCCAAGTACTACAGCGCACCCCACCAAGGCACACAGAAGGACGGTATGCGCTGGCTTTCCCCCCTCCGACGCAGAGCTCTGGAGCTCCATGACTGACGTGACCGATCCACGATAGGCCAGACGAACCCATACCCTGATGTCAAGTCGCAAAAAGCCTTTGAGAAGGGTCTCCTGGAGAAGACGGCCAAGCAGACCGGCGATATCATCCTCTACGACAACCGGATCGTTCTGTACAAGATGGAGTCGGACGTTATGATGTACGTTGTCGGAGGCGTTGACGAGAACGAGGTTCTTCTTTACAACGTTATTCTGGCCCTGAGAGATTCCCTGCACCTCCTCTTCAAGTAAGCCATCCCCCTTTGTGTTTCCTGGGAGCTGCAGGTAGCTGGTGGTTCTAACAGCTCTGTTAGGCAATCTGTCGACAAGCGCACAATCGTCGAGAACTACGACCTCGTCTCCCTCGCTATCGACGAGATCGTTGACGACGGCATCATCCTCGAGACCGACCCCACCATTATCGTCCAAAGAGTCAGCAAGGCGCCGGCGCAAGACGTTGACCTCCGCCGCATTGACCTCAGT